GTGCATGTGCCCTCTTACCGTATCCCACTTGGCGTGGGCACGCTCCTCCACGAACTTGGCGAACTCACGGCGGTCATGAATGGTGACCAGTAGCTTCCAGATGAGCAGGCCAGCCAGACCCAGAAACAAGATGGCCCCGGCTACGGACAGCAGCACCACCAGGATGTCTGGACCTTTAGGGCAGTCTGGGGGAAGAGGGGCAACCAATGGATGTCTATTTTATTTATCTTTTATTTACTCTGGTGAAATCCCATTGAGATAGGAATCTCTTTTGTGAGAGAGCCCTGTCTACAATAATAAAATGTCAGCAAACTTCCACATAACACAATACAGCAATACACGAGGGCATCAAATATTAGTTGTCAGAAGCACAGAAAGGCAAGCTTTTAACATTTGAGCCCTTAACAAAGCCTATTGTCCCTAAGCACTGTTTGCAAGTCAGTTTTACGCTTTTCGCATATGGTTAGGATTTAGGTAGGAGAAGCTGTTCTTAGATCAGGCTGAAAACAATTCCAAATGTCTCCAATAACTTTGTTGAAGAAGTGGGAGAGCTGTATCTGGTCTAAATATGTTTACATTATAAAGGCATTATATTAAGGCATTATACCATGGCATTGTTGAATACTCATTTCTGATACTGAACTAACTGTTAAATACTTAACCAAATAGCTACCCGGACTATCTGCATTGACCCTTGCACTAACCTTTTTGACTCATCACATACAGTGCATTCGTCCTGTGTAGCTCAGTTGGTAGAGCATGGCGTTTGCAACACCAGGGTTGTGGGTTCGATTCCCACGGGGGGCCAGTATGAAAAATATATGCACTCACTAACTGTAAGTTGCTCTGGATAAGAGCGTCTGCTAAATGACTAAAATGTAAAAATGTAATTCGGAAAGTATTCAGACCCCTTGACTTTTTCTACAGCCTTATTCTAAAATTGATTACATTATTTTTTTCCTCATCAATCTACACACAATACCACATAATGACAAAGTGAAAACAAGTTTTTAGAAGAAAGAAAAACAGAAATACCTTAATTACATAAGTATTCAGACCCCTTGCTATGATATTTGAAATTGAGCTCAGGTGCATCTTGTTTCCATTGATCATCCTTGATGTTTCTACAACTTGATTGGAGTCCACCTGTGGTAAATTCAATTGATTGGACATGATTTCGAAAGGCAAACACTTGTCTATATAAGGTCCCACAATTGCATGTCAGAGCAAAAACCAAGCCATGAGGTCGAAGGAATTGTCAGAGACAGAGACAACTCTTTGGCATCAATTCCAAGTGTCACGTCTGGAGGAAACCTGGCACCATCCCTACGGTGAAGCATGGTGGTGGCAGCATCATGCTGTGGGGATGTCTTTCAGCAGCGGGACTGGGAGACTAGTCAGAATTTAGGGAAAGATGAACGGAGCAAAGTACAGAGACATCCTTGATGAAAACCTGCTCCAGAGCGCTCAGGACCTCAGACTGGGGTGAAGGTTCACCTTCCAACAGGACAACAACCCTAAGCACACAGCCAAGACAAATAGGAGTGGCTTCCGGACAAGTCTCTGAATGTCCTTGAGTGGCCCAGCCAGAGCCCGGACTTGAACCCGATCGAACATCTCTGGAGAGACCTGAAAATAGCTGTGCAGCGACGCTCCCCATCCAACCTGACAGAGATTGAGAGGATCTGCAGAGAAGAATGGGAGAAACTCCCCAAATACAGGTGTGCCAAGCTTATAGCGTCATACCCAAGAAGACCCGAGGCTGTAATTGCTGCCAAAGGTGCTTCAACAAAGTACTGAGTAAAGGGTCTGAATACTTCTGTAAATGTGATATTTCTGTTTTTTTATTTAAAAAAAAAAACTGTTTTGCTTTGTCATTATGGGGTAGTGTGTATAGATTGATGAGGGGAAAAAAACTATTTAATCAATTTTAGAATAAGGCTGTAACGTAAAACAAAATGTGGAAAAAGTCAAGGGGTCTGAATACTTTCCGAATGCACTGTCTATCCTCCAAACACCGGCTTCTCAGGCATTATCACTTAAATAATGCACGGTCTAATTCAATGGCTATGAAGTTCATTCTTACAATGTTCTATGTTGGAGCTGCTTTTGAAAGCCAAAGTTGAATCGAAAACATTATTGGCATTGTTGAATTATATTTTCACAACAGTAAACTAGGACTGATGGTTTGGTTAGCTAAGCTAGCAAGTCTGTTTGGTTGGTTACCACGGCAAATAATGTAGCTATCTAGTAAACTTGCTAGTTAGCTACTTCAGTGGATGTTGAACACATTTCTACTGGCAAATGAACAAATAATACAACTTTTCCATAGAACGCATAGCCCCTCGTTGATTATCCCTTACATAGCAAAACGGCTAGTGATGGACATGAGGAAGGGATGACCCATACCAGATGAGTTATACCTACTCCCCCTCACTCTGGTCTCTCGTTAGGTTCCATCCGCGTGTGTGTGTGTGTGTGTGTGCGCGTTTGTTGCGCAACATTCCGAGGAAGCAGGCAGGGGTGTACTTTTACAGCTACATCAAAGCAACTTCTTTGCTCCTACCTTCCAACTTCCCCTCTATGCATCATTCTTCTCATTCTATACCTGCCTCGCTCTAACTCAATTTCCTGTTGCTCTACCTCTCCTACTATCTTCTCTTATCTCACGGCTCTATCCATCATCCCATCTTCATGGCTGAATAAGATGAGCCTGGACAATGTTAGGATATGATTATAGGATATGATTATAAATATTGGACATACAGTTACACTGGTTAAAAGTTCCCTTTTTTGTACTGCGTCGCGACTTAAATCAGTAAGTCTTACCCCATTCTAGCATTTCAAGTGTCTTTGTATGGCTTTGAATGGGTGATATGGTCCCCGACTCCTCATCAGAATACTCCACATTTTGATTCCACAAGTCGGTTTTATTTAGCCTGGTCTCAGATCTGTCTGTGCTGTTTTGCCAACTCCTACAGTATTGACAATAGAAGTTGGCTACACAGCACAAGCAGATCTGGGACCAGGCTAGGTTTCATTAGTGTCTGTTTATAAAACGTAGGAGTCTGTACCGATTTTGTATGGGATGATGTTTCAGATTAAACATGCCTTGTTTATGGCAATATATACCATATGAGTATACACTCTTAGAAAAAAGGGTTCCAAACAGGTTCTTTGGCTGTCCCCATAGGAGAACCCTTTTTGGTTACAGTTAGAACTCTTTTGGGTAAAACCTTTCCCCAGAGGGTTCTACATGGAACCCAATAGGGTTCTACCTGGAACCAAAAACGGTTCTTTAAAGGGTTCTCCTATGGGGACAGCTGGAGAACCCTTTTAGGTTCTAGATAGCACATTTTTAAGTGGAGGATATAGTAATTTTGTGCTAACCAAAGGTTTGTTTATTCTACCTCTGCTTATGTGAGTTGGACTTCAGGAATTCCAGTTCTGGCAGGCCCTACACATCAACTAAACCTAATACAAACCAAAATATGCGAGGCGGGTTCAACGTTTCTGTTTTCTATTTCTCCCTCTTTAACTCTCCCCCCCCCCACCACCACCACCACCACTACCACTACCCCGCCACCTCTCTCTCCCTCATCCCTCCTTCCTCCCCAGAGGATTGTGAAGCGTCAGCGAGTTCCTCGGGAGCTGGGATGCTTGTTTACGAGCGTCTTTTTACAAGGTAGGACCGGTGCTTTGTGTTCAAGGGAATGTTTGGCTGCTACTTCCCTGCTACCCAAGTCGCGCCTAAATTGCACACGTGGGTCGATTAAAAGCAGGCCCAGGGACAGGCTTTCTCTGCGGGCTGTGGCTGTTAACAGCTTTTTGCAACCGACGACTCTTTCAACATGGCCGCTTAACAAGCAGATGGATGGATGGGGATGGATGGGGATGGATGGGGGTAGGTGGGATCAAAAGGGAGCACTGATTGAACACGAGGCTCCAAAGAGAGTGGGCCTGGTTGTGTTGGTTGGTGGTTGTGGTCTCATGTAGTCACTTTTACATTTGGTACGCAAAATAATAACAGCCATTAGTTCTTTTGTTCACAACATTTCAAACACACTTCTACTTTTGTCCAGTTTAGCATTTTGGCAAATACCGTTTAGCATTTTGTGGACACAAAAGATGTCCTCAAATATGTGTGTGTGTGTGAGTGCGCATTTGTGTGCGTGTGTATGTATGATTCTTACCAGGCTCTTTGACCACAAATAGGATGGACTTGCCACTGGCATCCTCATAATACTGGAAGCGCTCCACACAGTCATCCTCGTCCTTATAGGTGCAGTTCACAGCATTTTTATCATGGAACTCTGGGAGGCAGAGAGAAGGAAGAGGGAATCATCTTTCTCTTATCTTTACACAAAATAGTAATATCATTTGATACGATGTCAGCCATCATGACAGTGGATAGTGTCATGCTAATTACAATTTCAAGACAGCTTCATGATGTTCATTTGGGTATTTATGTTGGGTATTAAACAGTGGTGGTTTGAAGCGTGTTTTTTCAGTCAATGATTTGGTGTCTTATTTGCTTAAATGGACAACCATTTGGCTTTGTCGGTCACATGCTGTGAACTGTCTGGACTAGATGGACATTTATACTCCAACCTTCGACCTGGCACAGTCAGAGGAGGATGGGCCTCACCTCTGAGTCTGGTTCCACTCATGGTTTCTTTCTTCTAGGGAGTTTAGCCTTACTACTGTGCTGCTGCTTGCTTTGGGGGTCAAGGTCGGGTTACTGTAAAGTACTTTGTGAATGTAGCTGTAAAAAGCAATTGAAATCGAATTGGATCAGAAATTGATTTGTCTTACCAAGGTCATCCACTAGCTGAATCTCGTCTCTGCAGATGCGGGTGCAGGTGTTGTCATTGAACAGCTTCCCTCTCTTGAAATGTTTACATTCCACACACTCTCTGTATCATTCCAGACACACACACACACACACGCACGTCACCGTCTATTACTCACATTCTTCTCAACATGGGGCAATTACACATTCAATGACTCAACTGTCTGCGAGTCAGTTTAGCCTGAGTTGAACTGTACAGCACTTTATCTTAGGCACGACACTGTAGACGTCTCCTGTGTGTGTGTGTGTGTGTCTGTCTGTCTGTGAGTGTGTGTGGATACCGCACTCACTTCTTCATGGTGCAGGCATCGGGGCAGGTGGGGCACTTGTCGCAGGTGGCCCCGTAGGCCCCCGGCTGGGTGCACTCGCAGGCCCCGCAAACACACTGGCCCCGGCCGCTACACAGCAGGCCAAGGCTGGACATACAGGTGTCAGTACGGCGGGAGCAGTTACAGTTCTCCCCCTGCCAGTCCGAGTCACACTGGCAGAACCCACAGTCACAGGTGCCGTGGCCTGGGGAGGAGAGAGAGAGGGAAGGAAGGAAGTAATGGGGGAGGAGGAAACGGAGGATGCAGAAATATGGGTGATGGGGGTGAGGGAAGGATAGAGGGAAGAGGAGAAGAAGAAGAATAGGGTATAGCAAAGACAGGAAGGTGAGAGAGGCGAGGGAGACGAGGAAGGTGAGTAGGGTTAAGGGAGAAGGAAGGGTGGAAAGTTGAGAGGGGGAGGAGAAAGCCAAAACATGGGTAATCGTTCAGGTGACTATAGTCTCAAATGTGTTCTTCCTATAATATATTTACAGAAGTTCATAATATTTCTGTGTACTTTTTGATGAATCCCAGTGAATGTGACATTAGAGATTGGTACGAATGAACACTATTTCTGAACCATGTTGAATACAGTCTTTTCATCAACAATCTATTTGCATTTCCAATCTCTTGATAACATATATGATAAATCATTGGTTACATAAGGAGATTTGCCATACATTCCACACATGTTCCAAATGGCACTCTATTCCCTATATAGTGCACTACTTTTCACCAGAGCCCTATGGGCCCGGTCAAAAGTGGGCACTGGTCAAAAGTAGTGCACTCAATAGGGAATAGGGTACCATTTTGGACGCAATGCATTGAACCCTATAAAGCATACTTGCGTGTTATCAAAAATCGCTAATGCACCCTAAATCCATCTGATAAAAAAAAAAGAAAAATGGGATTGGAATGGTGAGGAATTCCAGGAATTTAAAGCCAAATACTGGGAGGTAGCAAGTCCTGTTTCTGTAATAGTCGGAGCGCTGGAAGTGGAACTAATTCCATTGTTGTTTCTCTAGAACATGATGTGTCAGCGGTGTCTGGGTGCTTTTTTTGCCTCTGTGTGTGTGTGTGTGTGTGTGTGTGTGTGTGTGTGTGTGTGTATGTGTGTGTTATTTTGGTCCCAGTGCCAGTATGACAGTGACAGTGCAGAACATACATCTGTTGTTGTTGGTATATCACCACAAACCAGACTCCAGCTAAACAATAAGACAGGAAAACAATGAACGCGAGTGAGTGAACCGCCTCGATAACAAAATGACTAGTCAAAAACATACATTAAGGAAACCACAAGCCTTCCAACCACCACTCTCCTGTCATTATGCCATTCTCTAACTGCTTCTCTCTAAAACTGGTAAGCGGGCATTGTTCCCCACTCTGAACAATACACAACACACATACGCAGATACACACACCAGACCAGGTTTATTTTTAGCTCTATGACAGCATCAGCCAATGACAAAGCAGATAGGTATTTTCTCGATTATCATTGCACATTGGGAAATAGAGCAAATAAGGTTGTGAGAATTGGATTGGAGAGGGTAAATGTACGACTAAGCAGGCAGAGTACATGTTTTGCAGTGATGATGTTGGTTATAAGGGGATACAGGAATATGGGATACAAGCTAGTGACTTAGTGCTTGTGAGTGGATTTCAGTGAATGTAATGCTTTAAATCAAGAGTTATCAGAGCACTGGCCTAAAAGTGAATAGATTTACAGTACCCCAAATCCAGCATTACAGAAGGCCTTAATCCACTATTTGAAAGGGGCACAGATAATGTAGGCCTTTACATGTGTTCCCTGTGTTCAGTAGCCTTTTCGCCTTACCTCACAAGGCAGCCACTCTGGCATCGCTTACAGTTAATGACCTCAACCATTAGAGCTAAACTCTAAGGATGGTCATACATTAGAAATGTGCTTTCGTTGAACCACCCAAACTGAAGCTCAAATTGACACCACACTAACTACTTACTGTAAGAACTACTGTTAACACATTACTTAAAGCTTTCTTAAACTTGTGGTGCAGTTATAATGTATTGTAATACTTGACATAAGCATGATTAGCCTTTTTAGATAAAACTCAACCCACACTAACTACTTACACACAAACAATAAACCTTTAACTACTTGTTCTTTCTACGCGACATATGCAAAGTCTGAGCTTGGCAGGCACTTGTTCTATCATTACCTCAGGAGCTCAGCTCAAACACAAACACACCCGTCGAACGCATGGCTTAGCCCACACAGCTGCGGCACACAGCACAGAGCCACATGGTTGTTGTGAATGGAGCTAGCCCTTAGCAGAACAGAGAGAGAGAGAGAGAGAGAGAGAGAGAGAGAGAGAGAGTTAGCAGAACAGAGAGAGAGCGAGAGAGAGAGAGTTAGCAGAACAGAGAGAGAGAGAGCAAGAGAGAGAGAGCGAGAGAGAGAGAGAGAGAGAGAGAGAGACTGGCTGGCTGGCTGGCTGGCTGTTATTGTTGGTAATTCCTCCCAGTAAGGTGGGGATTGAGGATGGCTAATACTGGCCTGGAAAAAGCTTAAAGATTTTTCCCTAGAAACTCTGACAGAAACAACTGAATTTCTTCTGAGAATGTCTAAGTTTATCTTGGGAAATAGTGTTATAGAAGTTGTCTGAAGGTAAATCCCACCACATTAAAGGTCAGATTGTGATGAAAGATTATAGGGCAAAAACACTGAAATACCTATACAGTTACAGAACTTGCCGGAAATAAATTTCCAGCTAACTGAAATGTAAACACGTGACCAGACCAGGAAAAAGTCTGGGCTGTAGTTATAAGCACTTTGAAACCCCATCTTCCCATCCTCCCTCCTTCCCTCTACTCTCACCTGAGCACAGCTCGCCCTTGTAGCGCAGGCAGTTGAAGTCATCGCACTCGCACAACTTGCCCCACACCTTGCCAAAGTCGCTGCTGTGGCACACGCATTGGCCGCACACGCAGTCGCCCCTCCCAGTGCACACCGCTGCCCCAGGACCCCCTGCCCCCCCAATGCCCCCGGTGGAGGGAACACTACACCGGTCCTGTTCCTTGGCGCTGTAGTCACCCTCGGCACACTCGCACCGCGGCCCCAGTCGCCCCGGGTGACACAGGCAGATGCCGCACTCGTAGGTGCCGTTGCCATTGTTACAGACAGGGCTGAGTGGCTGGGCGTGGGCCTGGCACTTGCACTCGCACTCGAAGGTGACGGTGACGGTCAGAGAGTCCTTGAAGCCCACAGGCTTGATGACGAATGTCTTGCGCTTGTCCTTGGGGCAGCCGCGCGCCCGCGCCTCCACGCTGAAGGAGACCTGGGTGGAGGAGTGGAGAAGTAGAAGGGAGGAGGAGTGGAGGTAGAAGAGGTTAGGACAGTGAGTAGATGGGTAGCACACAGGAGGAATGTGTAATGTGAATATGTGGTTCTAGAGAAGGGGATGTTTAGTGTGTTTTTTTGTTTAGTAAGTTAAGTGTGTGTGTCTTGGGTGCGGGACTGCGGGTGTCTATGAGTATATGAGAAGTGTGCAGTGTATATGAGCATCTCTCTTTTCGGATGTTTTCTGTGTGTATATGACTGACCCCCTCCACATGCGAGTGCGCGTGTGTGACTGTCCTAAGCTAGACAGTTGGACATGGATCATGAGGCTGGCACGAGTGAGTCAGAGCACTGGGGCAGTGTGCAGGAAACGGGCTGGTGCCAGGCCCAGACACACACACAGACAAACACACACACACACAGACAAACACACACACACACACACACACACACACACACACACATGAGTAACACACCCATCAAATGACAAGGCGAAAGAAAGAAATGTACCCCCTCCCCCATAATAGGAGAAAACAAATAAAGAGAATAAAAGAGGGAAGGAAGCAAGCTCCCTGGAGGAGCGCATGCAGATCCGTAATGACCTCTCAGGAAAATGAAATAATAATAAGGACGGAGTGAGAAAAGAGAGTATAGAGTTCCTTGACCCTGTTTGAATCCTTAAAAAATACACCCTTCCTTCGTCCCTTCCTTGAAGTAATCATTGATCTGACATGACTAGCTAGGTGAAAGTGTTTTAATGGAACCCTTCCTAATCTATCAATTTGTGCTAGATCAGTGATTTACTTCAAGGAAGAGAGGAGGGAAGGGTGCATACATTTTTTATTTTTTAAAAAGTATTATTTGTTAAGGGCTCCGGAGAGGACCATGTCTTCTATTTTGAGTCTAGCAGGAGCGTATAGGCTAGGGATGACCTCTCAGGAAAAGGAGAAAAAATAAGGAAAGATGAAGTGATAGGAGGAACAGTTAAAAGAGAGGGGAAAAAGCCCTCTTACCGTGTCTCCTATCTTGAGTCCAGAGCAGGACTTGATGCCAGGGATGACCTCTCCATTGAGACAGGTGGCGCTGAAGGATAGAGACAGCTCCTCAGGTACCCCCTGTGTCTCCATGTCAATCACCGAGCGGATTTTCTGTCCGCAGAAATACACACAGATGAAACAAGCCATAAAACACACACATGAAACATAAAACACTAATATGTCTTGATTGGATAAGTATTCAACCCCCTGAGTCAATACATGTTAGAATCACCTTTGCAGCCATTACAGCTATGAGTCTTTCTGGGTAAGTCTCTAAGAGCTTTCCACACCTGGATTGTGCAACATTTGCCTATTATTATTTTCAAAATTCTTCAAGCTCTGTTGAATTGGTTGTTGATCATTGCTAGACAACCATTTTCAGGTCTTGCCATAGATTTTCAAGCAGATTTAAGTCAACATCGTAACTTGGCCAGCCGGGAACATTCACTGTCTTCTTGGTAAGCGACTCCAGTGTAGATTTGACCTTGTGTTTTAGGTTATTGTCCTGCTGAAAGGTGAATTCATCTCCCAGTGTCTGGTGGAAAGCAGACTGAACCAGGTTTTCTTCTAGAATTTTGCCTCTGCTTAGCTCCATTCCATTTATTTTTTATCCTGAAAAACTTCCCAGTCCTTAGTACAGACTGGGATATGTTCCAGGATTAATCCGATAACATTGAGGAGTTTACCACAACAGTCACGGGCTTCATCAATAATCAATAGGGCATAGACGATGTCATTCCCACAGTGACTATAAGAACGTATTCCAACCAAAAACCATGGATTACAGGCAACATCCACACTGGGCTAAAGGCTAGAGCTACCAGCTTACAATAAATGGGACACAGACATGGACGTATACAAGAAATCCCACTACGTCCTCCGACGAGACATCAAACATGCAAAATGACAATAGGAGGAAGGTGGAAACCTATTACACCGGCTACGACGCTCGTCGTATGTGGCAGGGCTTGCAGTGTCAGAGGAAGGCCCAAAAAAATTGCCTAAGACTCCAGCCACCCAAGCCATAGACTGTTCACTCTGCTACCGTCTGGCAAACAGTACCGGAGCATCGGCTCTCGGACCAACAGGCTCTAAGACAGTGTCTACCCCCAAGCCATAAGACTGCTAAATAGCCAGACTGCTAAATAGCCAGACTGCTAAATAGCCAGACTGCTAAATAGCCAGACTGCTAAATAGCCAGACTGCTAAATAGTCAATAGTCAATTAATGGTACCCAAACTATCTGCACTGACTCTATCTTGCACTGACCCTACACCCACTCACTAGACTTTATATACACACCATATATATGTAGACACTCACACACACACACACTACACTGTCGCTCCCACACAAATCCCTAACACATTCAAACACTACATACACACACACATACCGACACAACACAAACAAACATACATACACACACTCACTTTCACACTCGTCATTTGCTGCTGCTACTCTGTTCTTTATTTTACTCTTATTATTATCTATCCGGATGCGTAGTCACTTTACCCTGCCTTTATGTACATATCTACCTCAAGTACCTTGTACCTCTGCACATTGATCTGGTACTGGTACAGTGGGGAAAAAAAGTATTTAGTCAGCCACCAATTGTGCATGTTCTCCCACTTAAAAAGATGAGAGAGGCCTGTAATTTTCATCATAGGTACACGTCAACTATGACAGACAAAATGAGATTTTTTCCCCCAGAAAATCACATAGTAGGATTTTTAATGAATTTATTTGCAAATTATGGTGGAAAATAAGTATTTGGTCAATAACAAAAGTTTCTCAATACTTTGTTATATACCCTTTGTTGGCAATGACACAGGTCAAACGTTTTCTGTAAGTCTTCACAAGGTTTTCACACACTGTTGCTGGTATTTTGGCCCATTCCTCCATGCAGATCTCTTCTAGAGCAGTGATGTTTTGGGGCTGTCGCTGGGCAACACGGACTTTCAACTCCCTCCAAAGATTTTCTATGGGGTTGAGATCTGGAGACTGGCTAGGCCACTCCAGGACCTTGAAATGCTTCTTACGAAGCCACTCCTTCGTTGCCCGGGCGGTGTGTTTGGGATCATTGTCATGCTGAAAGACCCAGCCACGTTTCATCTTCAATGCCCTTGCTGATGGAAGGAGGTTTTCACTCAAAATCTCACGATACATGGCCCCATTCATTCTTTCCTTTACACGGATCAGTCGTCCTGGTCCCTTTGCAGAAAAACAGCCCCAAAGCATGATGTTTCCACCCCCATGCTTCACAGTAGGTATGGTGTTCTTTGGATGCAACTCAGCATTCTTTGTCCTCCAAACTCGACGAGTTGAGTTTTTACCAAAAAGTTCTATTTTGGTTTCATCTGACCATATGACATTCTCCCAATCCTCTTCTGGATCATCCAAATGCACTCTAGCAAACTTCAGACGGGCCTAGACATGTACTGGCTTAAGCAGGGGGACACGTCTGGCACTGCAGGATTTGAGTCCCTGGCGGCGTAGTGTGTTACTGATGGTAGGCTTTGTTACTTTGGTCCCAGCTCTCTGCAGGTCATTCACTAGGTCCCCCCGTGTGGTTCTGGGATTTTTGCTCACCGTTCTTGTGATCATTTTGACCCCACGGGGTGAGATCTTGCGTGGAGCCCCAGATCGAGGGAGATTATCAGTGGTCTTGTATGTCTTCCATTTCCTAATAATTGCTCCCACAGTTGATTTCTTCAAACCAAGCTGCTTACCTATTGCAGATTCAGTCTTCCCAGCCTGGTGCAGGTCTACAATTTTGTTTCTGGTGTCCTTTGACAGCTCTTTGGTCTTGGCCATAGTGGAGTTTGGAGTGTGACTGTTTGGTTGTGGACAGGTGTCTTTTATACTGATAACAAGTTCAAACAGGTGCCATTAATACAGGTAACGAGTGGAGGACAGAGGAGCCTCTTAAAGAAGAAGTTACAGGTCTGTGAGAGCCAGAAATCTTGCTTGTTTGTAGGTGACCAAATACTTATTTTCACCATAATTTGCAAATAAATTCATAAAAAATCCTACAATGTGATTTCCTGGATTTTTCCCCCTCAGTTTGTCTGTCATAGTTGACGTGTACCTATGATGAAAATTACAGGCCTCTCTCATCATTTAAAGTGGGAGAACTTGCACAATTGGTGGCTGACTAAATACTTTTTCCCCCCACTGTATATAGCTGGTACTGTATATAGCTCCATTCTATTTTATTCCTCTTGTGTTAGTTACTATTGTATTATTTTTTAAAATACTTTTTTTAAACTCTGCATCGTTGGGAAAAGTTTGTAAGCAAGCATTTCACTGTAAAGTCTACACCAGTTGTATTCGGCGCATGTGATAAATAACATTTTATTTTGATTTGATAACATGATGCAGCCACCACTATGCTTGAAAATATGGAGAGTGGTACTCAGTAATGTGTTGTATTGGATTTGCCCCAAACATAACATTTTGTATTCGGGACAAAAAGTTAATTGCTTTGCCACATTTTTTTGCAGTATTACTTTAGTGCCTTGTTGCAAACAGAATGTATGTTTTGGAATATTTTTATTCTGTACAGGCTTCCTTCTTTTCGCTCTGTCAATTAGGTTAGTATTGTGGATTAACTACAAGGTTGTTGATCCATTCTCAGTTTTCTGCTATCACAGCCATTAAACTCTATAACAGTGTTAAAGTCACCATTGGCATCATGGTGAAATCCCTAAGCGGTTTCCTTCCTCTCCGACAACTGAGTTAGGAAGGACGCCTGTATCTGTGACTGGGTGTATTGATACACCATCCAAAGTGTAATTAATAACTTCACCATGCTCAAAGGGATATTCAATGCTTGCTTTTTTTTTTAACCCATTTACCAATAGGTGCCCTTCTTTGCGAGGCATTGGAAAACCTCCCTGGTCTTTGTGATTGAATCTCTGTTTGAAATTCACTGCTTGACTGAGGGACCTTACAAATAATTGTATGGGTGGGGTACAGAGATGAGGTAGTCATTCAAAACTCATGTTAAACACTATTATTGCACACAGAGTGAGTCCATGCAACTTATGATGTAACTTGTTAAGCACATTTTTACTGAACTTATTTAGGCTGGCCATAACAAAGGAGTTGAATACTTAATGACTCAAGAGATTTCAGCTTTTAATTTTGTATTAATTTGTAAAGATTTCTAAAAACATAATTCCACTTCGACATTATGGGTTATTGTGTGTAGGCCAGTGACAAAAAAATCGAAATTCAGGCTGTAACACAACAAAATGTGGAAAAGGTCAAGGGGTGTGAATATTTCTGAAGGCACTGTAGATACAAACACATACACACACACACAGAGACTCATGCACGCACCTACCCACACGCAGACACACACACAGACACAAACACAGACACACACACACGCACACACACGCAGGCCCACTCACCGCATAGGCATTCAATATGAGCTGGATGACATTGCCTGAGTCATTGGACAGGGTGCCCACAGTGGTCCCAGGAATCAGCTCACTGTAGTTCTGTCAAACAAATAATTGAATACATTTTAATTCCATTGTAAGTCAAAACATGTGAAGATTGGTGGAAACTTTCCAAGGACACTGTAAATCAAATGTGATTGATTGGTTGGTTGGATGGATGAATTAATTGTTACTGACCTGGTAGAGGGGCACCACAGGACTGGTGACAGCAAAGATGAGGTTGATGTTGTTCTCTGACATCTTCTCTGTGATCAGAGCCAGTGACGGGTAGTCCTGGAAGAGGAAGAGCAGGGTGAGGAGTTTTAAACACACGAGCACACACATGCATATACAGTGAGGGAAAAACGTATTTGATCCCCTGCTGATTTTGTACGTTTGCCCACTGACAAAGAAATGATCAGTCTATAATTTTAATGGTAGGTTTATTTGAACAGTGAGAGACAGAATAACAACAAAAAAAAACAGAAATAAATGTTATAAATTGATTTGCATTTTAATGAGGGAAATAAGTATTTGACCCCCCTCTCAATCAGAAAGATTTCTCGCTCCCAGGTGTCTTTTATACAGGTAACCAGCTGAGATTAGGAGCACACTCTTAAGGGAGTGCTCCTAATCTCAGCTTTTTACCTGTATAAAAGACACCTGTCCACAGAAGTATTTAATCAATCAGATTCCAAACTCTCCACCATGGCCAAGACCAAAGAGCTCTCCAAGGATGTCAGGGACAAGATTGTAGACCTACACAAGGCTGGAATGGGCTACAAGACCATCGCCAAGCAGCTTGGTGAGAAGGTGACAACAGTTGGTGCGATTATTCGCAAATGGAAGAAACACAAAATAACTGTCAATCTCCCTCAGCCTGGGGCTCCATGCAAGATCTCACCTTGTGGAGTTGCAATGATCATGAGAACGGTGAGGAATCAGCCCAGAACTACACGGGAGGATCTTGTCAATGATCTCAAGGCAGCTGGGACCATAGTCACCAAGAAAACAATTGGTAACACACTACGCCTTGAAGGACTGAAATCCTGCAGCGCCCGCAAGGTCCCCCTGCTCAAGAAAACACATATACAGGGCCGTCTGAAGTTTGCCAATGAACATCTGAATGATTCAGAGGAGAACTGGGTGAGTAGTGTTGTGGTCAGATGAGACCAAAATCGAGCTCTTTGGCATCAACTCAACTCGCCGTGTTTGGAGGAGGAGGAATGCTGCCTATGACCCCAAGAACACCATCCCCACCATCAAACATGTAGGTGGAAACATTATGCTTTGGGGGTGTTTTTCTGCTAAGGGGACAGGACAACTTCACCGCATCAAAGGGATGATGGACGGGGCCATGTACCGTCAAATCTTGGGTGAGAACCTCCTTCCCTCAGCCAGGGCATTGAAAATGGGTCGTGGATGGGGTATTCCAGCATGACAATGACACAAAACACACGGCCAAGGCAACAAAGGAGTGGCTCAAGAAGAAGCACATTAAGGTCCTGGAGTGGCCTAGCCAGTCTCCAGACCTTAATCCCATAGAAAATCTGTGGAGGGAGCTGAAGGTTCGAGTTGCCAAACATCAGCCTCGAAACCTTAATGACTTGGAGAAGATCTGCAAAGAGGAGTGGGACAAAATCCCTCCTGAGATGTGTGCAAACCTGGTGGCCAACTACAAGAAACGTCTGACCTCTGTGATTGCCAACAAGGGTTTTGCCACCAAGTACTAAGTCATGTTTTGCAGAGGGGTCAAATACTTATTTCCCTCATTAAAATGCAAATCAATTTATAACATTTTTGCTATGCGTTTTTCTGGATTTTTTTGTTGTTATTCTGTCTCTCACTGTTCAGATAAACCTACCACTAAAATTATAGACTGATCATGTCTTTGTCAGTTGGCAAACGTCAAAATCAACAGGGGATCAAATACTTTTTTCCCTCACTGTACACATGCACATGCACACACACACAAACGACACATGATGCGCCAACCCGACTGACCATGATAGTAGACATGCTGTACATGTTCTCTGAGTTGAGGTGGCACTGCCCGTCATTGGGCTGCACGATACCCGCCAGGCGCCCGTCCAGCGCCACGTGGGTCTTGGCATCGGTGGTGAAGATCAGGAGGTGAGAGGCACCCTGACGCCAGCCGATCTTCTCCTGAGGTTGACCAACAGAGGATGGGTGAGTGAACAAAAATGGTAAAAAGATAAAGAGTTAGACACTGTGTGTGTGTGTGTGTGTGTGTGTGTGTGTGTGTGTGTGTGTGTGTGTGTGTGTGTGTGTGATGTTACACTGGCCTCACATTACACACAGCAGCCTGTATGATGGCGTCGAAGCCTCCCTCAGGGGCATCTCTGTTCCTGGACACGATCTGTTTCTTCACTTCCTCAGTGAAGCGGCCCACCTCCTCAGTCAGAGACAGCACATGCTTGTAGCCAAACTGGGGCAGGCATGTGGTGTTGATCCTGCCAATCAATTAATTCATTAATTAATCAATCAGAATCAATTAATTAATCAATCAATCCATCCATCCATTCAACCCACTGTTCTATTTGTACAAAGAGGGATTTTTTAAAAATATATTTACATCAGTGGAGGCTCCTCAGAGGAGGGGAGGACAATCCTCTGTGAATTTTTTTTTTTTTTTATAGTAAAACATTAAAAAAGTTATCATTTTTAGATAAAACTATATTAAATATATTCATGTCACCAAATAATTGATTAAAACACACTGTTTTGCAATGAAGGTCTACAGTAGCCTCAAAAGCACTCTGTGGGGTAGCACCATGGTGTAGCCGGAGGACAGCTAGTTTCCGTCCTCCTCTGGGTACATTGATTTCAATACAAAACCTAGGAGGCTCATGGGTCTCACCCCCTTCCATACACTTACACAGTAAGTATGACAACTTCCGGAGGATGTCCTCCAACCTATCAAAGCTCTTGCAGCATGAACTGAGATGTTGTCCACCCAATCAAAGGATCAGAGAACGAATCTAGTACTGAAAGGAAAAGCTACAGCTAGCTAGCCCTGCAGTGCATAAAATGTGGTGAGTAGTTGACTCAAAGCGAGAGAAAGACAATATTTAAACAGTTTTGAACAAATTAATTTATTTAAAAATGAAGGAGAAGCAAGAGAGAGAGAGAGAGAGACAGCTAGCTATATTTTGTTGTAATTTGTTCACTTTCATTTACATTTTACATTTACGTCATTTAGCAGACGCTCTTATCCAGAGCGACTTACATTATTATTCTTTTTTCATACCCCCTGTGGGAATCAAACCCACAACCCTGGCGTTGCAAACGCCATGCTCTATCAACTGAGCTCCCTCCCTGCCGGCCCTGCCTCCCCTACCCTGGACGACGCTGGGCCAATTGCGCGCCGCCCCATGGGTCTCCCGGTCACGGCCAGCTACGACAGAGCCTGGATTCGAACCAGGATCTCTAGTGGCACAGCTAGCACTGCGATGCAGTGCCTTAGACCACTGCGCCACTCAGGAGACACTTTCACTTCGCTAGCGAATGCAGTTAGCTAGTTTAGCCTACTAAAAATACCTGGCTCAAAACAGAGAGGGATGCTATGTTAACTAGCTGGCTATGGCTATCCAACACTGGAACTCTTCCAAGTCAAGGTAAGCATTTGCTTTTATTAATTTATTGCCACCGGGGCCCACAGGTGTAACTGCTAAACTGCTTGCTGACTGTACACTGTACTACATGATTGTAGCAGGTTTACTAGCTAGTTGTTATGTTGACTATGACGTTATTAGCTGATATGGTGAAAACTACAGTGAGGGAAAATAATATTTGATCCCCTGCTGATTTTTTACGTTTGCCCACTGACAAAGAAATGATCAGTCTATAATTTTAATGGTAGGTTTATTTGAACAGTTAGAGAAAGAATAACAACAAAGAAATCCAGAAAAACGTATGTCAAAAATGTGATAAATTGATTTGCATTTTAATGAGGGAAATAAGTATTTGACCCCTTCTCAATCAGAAGGATTTCTGGCTCCCAGGTGTCTTTTATACAGGTAACAAGCTGAGATTAAGAGCACACTCTTAAAGGGAGTGCTCCTAATCTCAGTTTGTTACCTGTATAAAAGACACCTGTCCACAGAAGCAATCAATCAATCAGATTCCAAACTCTCCACCATGGCCAAGACCAAAGAGCTCTCCAACGATGTCAGGGACAAGATTGTAGACCTACACAAGGCTGGAATGGGCTACAAGACCATCGCCAAGCAGCTTGGTGAGAAGGTGACAACAGTTGGTGTGATTATTCGCAAATGGAAGAAACACAAAATAACTGTCAATCTCCCTCGGCCTGGGATCCATGCAAGATCTCACCTTGTGGAGTTGCAATGATCATGAGAACAGTGAGGAATCAGCCCAGAACTACACGGGAAGATCTTGTCAATGATCTCAAGGCAGCTGGGACCATAGTCACCAAGAAAACAATTGGTAACACACTATGCCGTGAAGGACTGAAATCCTGCAGCGCCCACAAGGTCCCCCTGCTCAAGAAAGCACATATACAGGGCCGTCTGAAGTTTGCCAATGAACATCTGAATGATTCAGAGGAGAACTGGGTGAAAGTGTTGTGGTCAGATGAGACCAAAATCGAGCTCTTTGGCATCAACTGAACTCGCCGTGTTTGGAGGAGAAGGAATGCTGCCTATGACCCCAAGAACACCATCCCCACCGTCAAACATGGAGGTGGAAACATTATGCTTTGGGGGTGTTTTTCTACTAAGGGGACAGGACAACTTCACAGCATCAAAGGGACGATGGACGGGGCCATGTACCGTCAAATCTTGGGTGAGAACCTCCTTCCCTCAGCCAGGGCATTGAAAATGGGTCGTAGATGGGTATTCCAGCATGACAATGACCCAAAACACATGGCCAAGGCAACAAAGGAGTGGCTCAAGAAGAAGCACTTTAAGGTCCTGGAGTGGCCTAGCCAGTCTCCAGACCTTAATCCCATAGAAAATCTGTGGAGGGAGCTGAAGGTTTGAGTTACCAAACGTCAGCCTCAAAACCTTAATGACTTGGAGAAGATCTGCAAAGAGGAGTGGGACAAAATCCCTCCTGAGATGTGTGCAAACCTGGTGGCCAACTACAAGAAACGTCTGACCTCTGTGATTGCCAACAAGGGTTTTGCCACCAAGTACTAAGTCATGTTTTGCAGAGGGGTCAAATACTTATTTCCCTCATTAAAATGCAAATCAATTCATAAAATTTCTGACATGTGTTTTTCTGGATTTTTTGTTGTTGTTATTCTGTCTCTCACTGTTCAAATAACCCTACCATTAAAATTATAGACTGATCATGTCTTTGTCAGTGGGCAAACGTACAAAATCAGCAGGGGATCAAATACTTTTTTTTCCCCTCACTGTATGTAGACTGTGTGTACCAGATAGCTGTTATGATATGAAGGTTTGTCTTGGAAAGGTTTTTTCGCATGGTCACGGACAGCTGATGTATTGTGCACTGAAGTCTACAAGCAAAGGGAAAAGGTCAGAGGAGGAGAGTGTGTAGATGCTAGAAGGAATTATGCAACGAGCAAAATGTTCATGCTGTAAGTATGTGGCTACTATGAAAGTGAACCGTGTTTGCGTGTGATCAGGGGTGTATTCATTCCGCCGATTCTGTTGATGCAGGCAAGAGTGTGCAAGGCGGTATTGAATGTGTCACTGTCTGTCTCCTTCATTACGTTGTAAACTTTCATTGATAGGCTAGGTTGTAGCAACCTCATGATGGGTATAGGGAAAATTTGAGAACCATGTACATTTTTACATTACATTTTACGTCATTTAGCAGACGCTCTTATCCAGAGCGACTTACAGGAGCAATTAGGGTTAAGTGCCTTGCTCAAGGGCAGATCGACAGATTTTTCACCTAGTCGGCTCGGGGATTAGAACCAGCGACTTTTTGGTTACTGGCACAACGCTCTTAACCACTAAGCTACCTGTCGCCCCAATGTAGTAGCCTAAACCTATCGATGTTACATTGAGCTGGGTGAATGGAATATGAATGACAGTCATCCATTGTGCTGTAATAGAAATAAGGCCATGCTCATTAAAAAAAATATTGTCTTCCCTCATTTTAAACGTCACCGACCGCCATTGATTTACATTGCATTCGGAAAGTATTCAGACCCCTTGACTTTTTCCGCATTTTGTTACGTTACAGCCTTATTCTAAAATGGATTAAATTGTCCCCCCCCCCCCCCCCCCCCCCCCATCAATATACACACAATACCCCATAATGACAAAGAAAAAACAGGTTTTTAGACATTTTTGCAAATGTATTATTGTATATATTGTGTACAGACAAAGTATATTACCTACATACAGTGCCTTCGGAAAGTATTCAGACCCCTTGACTTTTTCCACGTTTTGTTAGCTTACAGCCTTATTCTAAAATTAATTAAAAACATTTATTTCCCCTCATCAATCACACAATACCCCATAATGAGAAAGCAAAAACAGTTTTTTGTAAATGTTTGCTAATTTACTACAAATAAAAAACTGAAATATCACATTTTACATAAGTATTCAGACCCTTTACTAATTACTTTGTTGAAGCACCTTTGGCAGTGATTACAGCCTCGAGTCTTCTTGGGTACGACGCTACAAGCTTGGCACACCTGTATTTGGGGAGTTTCTCCTATTCTTCTCTGCAGATCCTCTCAAGCTCTGTCAGGTTGGATGGGGAGCGTCGCTGCACAGCTATTTTCAGGTCTCTCCAGAGATGTTCGATCCAGTTCAAGTCCGTCCTCTGGCTGGGCCACTCAAGGACATTCAGTCACTTGTCCCAAAGCCACTCCTGCATTGTCTTGGCTGTGTGCTTAGGGTCATTGTCCTGTAGGAAGGTGAACCTTCGCCCCAGTCTGAGGTCCTGAGCGCTCCAGAGCAAGTTTTAGGTGTCTTTTGGCAAACTCCAAGCGGGCTGTCATGTGCCTTTTACTGAGGAGTGACTTCCGTCTGGCCACTCTACCATGAAGGCCTGATTGGTGGAGTGCTGCAGAGATGGTTGTCCTTGTGGAATGTTCTTCCATCTCCACAGAGGAACACTGGAGCTCTGTCAGAGCGACCGTCACGTTCTTGGTCACCTCCCTGACCAAGGCCCTTCTCCCTTGATTGCGCAGTTTGACCGGGCGGCCAGCTCTAGTAAGAGTCTTGGTGGTTCCAAACTTCTTCCATTTAAGAATGATGGAGGCCACTGTGTTCTTGGGGACCTTCAATGCTGCAGAAATGTTTTGGTACCCTTCCCCAGTTCTGTGCCTCGACACAATCCTGCCTCAGAGTTCTACGGACAATTCCTTCGACCTCATGGCTTGGTTTTGCTCTGACATGCACTGTCAACTGTGGGACCTTATATAGACAGGCGTGTGCTTCTCCAAATAATGTCCAATCAATTGAATTTACCACAGGTGGACTCCAATGAAGTTGTAGAAAAACATCTCCAGGATGATCAATGGAAACAGGATGATAAGTATCCAGATCCTTTGCTATGAGACTCGAAATTGAGCTCAGGTGCATCCTGTTTCCATTGATCATCCTGGAGATGTTTTTCTACAACTTCATTGGAGTCCACATAAGGTTTTCTGTTTTTTATTTTTAATACATTTGCAAAAATGTTCGACAGACCTGTTTTTGCTTTGTCATTATGGGTTATTGTGTTTACATTGATGCTGATTATTCTTTTTTTAATCAATTTTAGAATAAGGCTGTAACGTAACAAAATGTGGGAAAATTGAAAGGGTCTGAATACTTTCCGAATGCACTGTAGATATACAGTCCTGTTCTATTTTGGAGAGAGAGCGAGCGAGATAGAGAGACAGAAATAGAGAGAGTGAATGATAATGTGGGTGTGAGAGGAAGCAAAGCCTCAAATCTGTGAAAAGCGAGTTCAACTAAACCAGGGTGGAGTCAGACAATCTTGTAATTGCTGCTTAAACCCCTGTTGAGATCTCTGGATTACCTCTGTCTGACTCCTACATGCTGACTAAGCATCATCACCCACAGAGTCTCACAATGACTCAACAACAACAGCTAGCTTTTACACAAAACAGTTTAAAGGCACAACCTACAATTTCAACAGCCTGACCTTGCCACTGTTTGGTGAGATGAAGGACTGGGCTGGGGAAATGTAACCACTCTCAAGTTTAAAGAGGGAGTTATACAAGGACTGATAGTTCTTGGTGTTTTATTGAGAGAAGTGTGCAAATGGGTGTCAATGTGGTTGAACAGAGCTTTCCTCTTCCCTATTCTAAAATATATATTTCCCATCTTAATGTTATTAACCTGTATAAATTAAGGATAAACTAAAACAAAGTTAACCCTAGTTTAATAACCCTGGTTTACCCGTGACAGGGGTTGAGCAGGGCCTCCTTGGGGGAGATGTACATGTAAGGCGACAGTGGCTTGTCCACGAAGGCTCCGAAGCCCATGCGCAGGTTGCTGGTGGTGCGTCCCATTTCCTTGGCCAGGCCTTTCCCCAGGGTGCGGAGGCGGAACAGGTCGTCGTTCATGGAAAAGGACAGGTCCATGAGGTAGTACAGGTCCACCGGGTAGTCCTCTACCTGGCGCACCTTCACTGTGAACCGCTTGGAGTCGTCTGACAGGGGGAGAGGTGGAAATTTGGGATGAGCTGGTCTGTATGTAATGACCTCACCGGGTCTCATGTAATAATATCACCTGGTCTGAGGGTGATGGAGTCTCAGTCTAATAATCTCACCTGGTGTGAGGGTGATGTGAAGTCTCACTTGGTCTGAGTGTGTAATAATCTCACCTGTTTTGAGTGCAATAATACCACCTAGTATCAGTGTAATAATCTCACCTAGTTTGAGTGTAATGATTTTACCTGTTGTCAGTGTAATAATCTCACCTGGTCTGGGGATTTAATAATCTCACTTGGTCTGAGTGTAATAATCCCACCTGGTCTCATTGTGTTAATCCCACTTGGCCAAAATGTAATAGGCATAATCTCTTTTGATCTGAGTGTAATAATCTCACCTGGTCTCAATCTAATAATCTCACCTGGTCTGAGGGTGATGTGAAGTCTCTGAGGTTGGATCTGGGTGGCGTCGACCGTGTCTCCGGCTGCCTTGTCGCTGAGGGGCCGGTCCTCTTTCACCTGCAGCTTGCTGGTGGGGAACTCAAGGGCGGTCTGATCACAGCCCGCCGCCACCAGGTTACGCTTCAGGTCACAACGAGAAGAGCCTGCCACCCCCTGCCCAAAGTCCTGATGGAACAATCCAGGAAGTTAGTTAGAGAAACAGGAAGTGTTTACTGATGGTTGATAGTTTGGCAACACTTTGTATAAAGTGTGACTTTTTGGGGCTCTTGAAGTATTAAGTAGCAGTACACATCATGAACAATATAGTTCCTGAAATGGCGTGCTGCAGTGCAGTGATCTCTCCCCTTCCTTCCCTTCAACAAAGCTAAAAGTAGCAGTTATAACACTGCCTATGTGTTGTGTGGGGAAGGCCATCTTGTTTTTAGCCAGGCCATGGAGGTGAAAGGGCAAGTCCTGACATGCCCCATACCATAGAAGGGTCGTTCCACGAATAGAGTACTTTTGCATCACTTTGATATTTTGATTAGAAATTGTGGACCAATATTGAATTTAAAAGCCTGTTATATTAAACGAAATGCCCTTTAATATAGACCACATGGAGAATTCAAAAAATCATATTTTTTATATGAATAAATGCTTGCTAAAGTGCCAAAATCCTTCATTTTAACATGTCAACCACCGTCAACCGGTGTCACTTCTAGGAAGATTTTAACCTACTTAATCCCAAAATGTCTCCAAATTTCACCATCATTGTAAGACCCTAGTTATTTTGTTGCTTTGACAAAGTCATTTCTGAAGATGATTATTTATTTCATGTGATTAGTGATTGATTTACTTCTGTCCCACATTTTAAGGTCAACCCTGTTACATGAACTGAACTCTTGTTTTAAAGGGATACTTTGGGATTTTGGCAGTGAAGCCCTTTATCTACTTCCCCAGAGTCTGATGAACTCATGAATATCATTTTTATGTCTCTGCATCTGGTATGAAGGAAGTTAGAGGTAGTTTCGCGAGCCAATGCTAACTAGCATGCTAGCAGTTATCATAGACTTCCAGTCATTGTGCTAACACTAGTTATCAATTGCGCTAACGCTAGTTAGCAACTTGCTTCAAACAGAGAAATAAAAATGTTATCCACGAGTTCATCTGACTCTGGGGAAGTAGATAAAGGGCTTCATTGCCAAAATCCTGAAGTATCTCTTTAATATGGTGAAACTATTCCTTTTTAAATATTTTTTTCAAAAGAAACACTGAACATCTAATAATCAAATCATAGAGTAAAAGGTGTGCTGGTTGTACTCTTTTTGGCAATTTCTGGTGTTTTGTGGTGGAAAACTGAGCAGGCCGAGCATAACACGTAAACCCTGTTACCCATAAATAGACAGGCTAGAACTGTTTTAACAATTTCATATTATTTTTTTAAAAGCTTGCATTCAATTGCCACTCCCTGCTGCACACAACACGCTTCAATTCCCCCTGTCATAAGTGGATTCATGGCTGATTTAAGAAGAAATCGTCAACCCTGTTACTTTATTTGGCACTTAACAGGCACTTACTTGAGAGTTGAACATGTGCTTTTTCTAACACAATGTTAAAATTAGGTCAATTAACGTTTTTTTTTACCAAGTTACACTTCTCAAAAGACACTGAATTGGTGGAACGACCCAGAAATAGAATCATAGGGAGAATTCATGGAGAAAATGAATAAACATTTCAGGGAGGAAGGGACTAACACATGCCAGGGAGTTGCCAAAGGGCAGTCCCCAGCCATTGCCAGTAATTACAATTACAACACTATTCTGTGGCCCAACTAACGTCATGTCATACAATGAGAATTCATTGCTCTAACCATTTCCTGTGATTCATCACCAGATTGATTACAACATGTCCAAACAGGAGTCATCTGCATGCTACAAGACTGTGTTAGCCTTCTGAGCTAAGCCTAGGCATTAGATCAGGGGACCTAGCATGAGTCTTTAGGTTATAGGCAAGCTTATTTTTACTCATCATGTAATCTATATTCACCAAACCATCTCTGTTACACAGGACAGTGATCCCTCAGGAAAGGAGAATTGAAGGACAAATTAGGGAGAATTTAGGCCCACCTCTTGGAAGCACCACGCACAGGTAGGATGTACAGCCAGACACTGCTTACATGTGCTGGCCCCTCGGGATGTACAGATGTTGGAACCTGGAATGACAGTGGAGTCACTCACCAAACTCTACGTAAACATAGCATGTAGACACACATGCACACACATATGCATAGTACACATACAGCAATCATACATATAGAAACGTGCAAGGTCGCACACAAACAAACAGGTTTCATAACAACAGAAAGAAGCACAATCTGCTAAATGTATTACTGACCCAATTCGGTGTGTGTGGCTCTTACAAAAAAGTCCTACAGGAATCATGCAGGAATTCGACCCTTTGTGAAGGAATTGTGAAGGTGTTGAAATTCCTGCAGGACCATGACAATTGCTGCAGGAATCCTGCAGGACCGAAACCTGCAGGATTCTGATATTCCTGCAGGATATGGAAATTCCTGCTGGACCAAGTAAATTCCAGCACGAATCCTGCAGGACTGAATCCTGATGTTGTTGGTGTACCAGCCATATTAAAACCAACTATCACCAAGTTTACCATAGCAGACATTCGTTTCCCTTTACACCAATACACATAAGCTGTTCATGTGATGTCACCATTACTCTCACTCTTTTACCTATGCTTTTACCATTTTTATTAAAAATCGCATATTTTCTTTCTCCTAGGAATCATATTTTATGCAATGCTGGTGAAATGGAACATGCCCGCTGTTGCTGCATTGAATAATACAATTGCTATGCAATCAGATATCTTGTGCTTTATGTGGATGAGGAAGGGATCCCGCGGGTTGTACTACAGGAAAATGGCCCTGCAAATCTTTTAGAATTACCGTCAGGAATCTTACCTACAGGATGTCCAACAGCATTGTGGGTCCATTTTGCTGTAGGTAGTGCTTCAGGAAATAATCCTGCAGGATTTATTTGAGGACTATTTTCAGGATTCCTGCTGGATTGTTTTCTTGAAGGACTACCTGCATGATTCCTACAGTTTCCTGTCCTACAGGAAAATGGCTCTGAAAATCCAGTGGGATATCCTGCAGGAATAGGAAGTCCTGCAGGATATACAGTGGGGAGAACAAGTATTTGATACACTGCCAATTTTGCAGGTTTTCCTACTTACAAAGCATATAGAGGTCTGTAATTTTTATCATAGGTACACTTCAACTGTGAGAGACGGAATCTAAAACAGAAATCCAGAAAATCACATTGTATGATTTTTAAGTAATTAATGTGCATTTTATTGCATGACATAAGTATTTGATACATCAGAAAAGCAGAACTTAATATTCGGTACAGAAACCTTTGTTTGCAATTACAGAGATCATACGTTTCCTGTAGGTCTTGACCAGGTTTGCACACACTGCAGCAGGGATTTTGGCCTACTCCTCCATACAGACCTTCTCCAGATCCTTCAGGTTTCGGGGCTGTCGCTGGGCAATACGGACTTTCAGCTCCCTCCAAAGATTCAGGTCTGGAGACTGGCTAGGCCACTCCAGGACCTTGAGATGCTTCTTACGGAGCCACTCCTTAGTTGCCCTGGCTGTGTATTTCGGGTCGTTCTCATGCTGGAAGACCCAGCCACGACCCATCTTCAATGCTCTTACTGAGGGAAGGAGGTTGTTGGCCAAGATCTCACGATACATGGCCCCATCCATCCTCCCCTCAATACGGTGCAGTCGCCCTGTCCCCTTTGCAGAAAAGCATCCCCAAGGAATGATGTCTCCACCTCCATGCTTCACGGTTGGGATGGTGTTCTTGGGGTTGTACTCATCCTTCTTCTTCCTCCAAACATGGCGAGTGGAGTTTAGACCAAAAAGCTCTATTTTTGTCTCATCAGACCACATGACCTTCTCCCATTCCGCCTCTGGATCATCCAGATGGTCATTGGCAAACTTCAGACTGGCCTGGACATGCGCTGGCTTGAGCAGGGGGACCTTGCATGCGCTGCAGGATTTTAATCCATGACGGCGTAGTGTGTTACTAATGGTTTTCTTTGAGACTGTGGTCCCAGCTCTCTTCAGGTCATTGACCAGGTCCTGCCGTGTAGTTCTGGGCTGATCCCTCACCTTCCTCATGATCATTGATGCCCCACGAGGTGAGATCTTGCATGGAGCCCCAGACCGAGGGTGATTGACCGTCATCTTGAACTTCTTAAATTTTCTAATAATTGCGCCAACAGTTGTTGCCTTCTCACCAAGCTGCTTGCCTATTGTCCTGTAGCCCATCCCAGCCTTGTGCAGGTCTACAATTTTATTCCTGATGTCCTTACACAGCTCTCTGGTCTTGGCCATTGTGGAGAGGTTGGAGTCTGTTTGATTGAGTGTGTGGACAGGTGTCTTTTATATAGGTAACGAGTTCAAACAGGTGCAGTTAATACAAGTAATGAGTGGAGAACAGGAGGGCTTCTTAAAGAAAAACTAACAGGTCTGTGAGAGCCGGAATTCTTACTGGTTGGTAGGTGATCAAATACTTATGCCATGCAATAAAATGCAAATTAATTACTTAAAAATCATACAATGTGATTTTCTGGATTTTTGTTTTAGATTCCGTCTCTCACAGTTGAAGTGTACTACCTATGATAAAAATTACAGACCTCTACATGCTTTGTAAGTAGGAAAACCTGCAAAATCGGCAGTGTATCAAATACTTGTTCTCCCCACTGTATACTCTGCAGGATTCCTGTAGGATTTTTCATGCAGGATTCCTGTAGGACTTTTTTGTAAGGGTGTAGATAGCCTAATTCGGTGTGTGTGTACATGTGTGTGTTTGACATAAGACACCTTTTTAATAAATAGTGATTCTTCTTTGCAATCAATCAAATCACTTTTGGCATGCTTATTGAACTTCAAGGAATGGGACACACCTGCACACAAGCTCGCATGCACACACACACACGCACACGCACACACACACACACACACACACTATTAACATGATGAAGCTACTTATGACTGATGGTCCTCTTACTAGCACAATGCTAAGCCTATAATTCCCCTTTGTCATCTCATCAGGTGGTAAGGAATCATAATGGGAAACATGGAAACTGGAGGCCAGTCTCAAACAGTCTGAGGAGAGCACGGAGAGCGATGTGGACAGATTTAGGCAAATTACAACAAAACGAGTTTGGGGTTAAATTATTTTATCCATTTATCCAGTTATAATTAATTTAGTTTGATCAAATATAATGATTCTCTATAATAATATCCAAAATTATGTTACTGAATCTATGAAATGTTCATCTTTGTAACGATCTTACCATTTCATGGGACCGTTTAGAAACTACAGTGTCAAACTTGTGCTTGTAGCTGTAGCCTATTTCCCTGTCTCAACTGCGTTTTGCGCCCTCTCCCAACAATTATTAATTATTACACCGATGTTGAAAATGCAGCAAAAGCACACGGCTAGAAGTAGTACATTTAGATCACATAGTTCAAACTTACCCAAAACATCAATAACTGCAAATAAAACTAAATAACATATCCAAAGTTTAATCCTTTGCGTTATGTGAGTAGGGCTACACATCTTGGCGAGGGCACTTCGTCAGGACGAACGGCGCAGGCGTTTGGCAAGACAGTTCGTTTGGGCTACTTTAAATGCCCCCCTCCCTTCCGCCTTCGCTCAGTCTGCGATCCCATACAACTCCAAATAGAGTAAACTCAAAAGCACTTTTTTCCTCTATCCGGAAAGTCATAGCCTACTGCCTTTTGAGAAAAAAAAGCACAAGCACTTTATGCCCTTTTCTTATCCAAAAATAATATTCATCTGAATGTAGGCCTACCAGTCAATATACAATTATGAAGCACATTTTAGAACACTATATTTTAATGTTTAAGCTTTGTAAATACTTTTTGTCTTCAATATGTTGAATATTTGTATTAGGCCTATATCATAGCTATAATAGCTATAATAATATATAGTATTAAGTCTTATTATATTACATAACGTTTTTAAATACGATTGAAATACATGTATGACACATATGGAGTAACTTGATACTATGTTAGGTAGGTTTAAAATGGTCGGGTTTGAAGTTGAAATTTGGAATTTTCTTTGGTTTACTCAAGTCAACTAATATTTTAAAGATATTACCTACAGTATTGCTACAAATCGTCCTAGTAGTATTACAGACCACTACTTAGTTAAATAAAGTTTACAGTCAGAACAATATCCCATTGTGAACACAGTTATGAGTCAATTCTGCTGACATGGTCGCAATGAGTCAGTATGATAAGGTGTTGATTATGAAGCTGCTTTATGGCCCATCCGGAGTACTTCAGTTATTGCAGTGACACCGACACACACACCCACACACACACACACACACACACACACACACACACACACACACACACACACACACACACACACACACACACACACACACACACACACAGTCCATTGTCATATGTATGAAGAGTCCATTGTTATACAATCATTTGATGTACAATGTGTTATATGTTTTCAGTAAGTGCAGTAGCACACTTTCCCCTCAAGGAAATATGAGATGAGGGCAAGCAGTTCAACACAGGTAGGTCACATTAGGCTATTCACAATTTTGGGCATTTTTGGTCCATTATGACATCACAACTACATATTAATGTGAGCCCATAGAATTAGAATTGTCATTCTTATTCTATGTGTGAGCCAGCCAATTAGGTAGAACGGGAAACTTAAATCCATTCTACCTCATTTCTACCAGCATGTTAAATGTGCAACCAGAGGGAAAAAAAACTCTAGACCACCTTTACTCCACACACAGAGACGCATACAAAGCTCTCCCTCGCCCTCCATTTGGCAAATCTGACCATAACTCTATCGTCCTGATTCCTGCTTATAAGCAAAAACTAAAGCAGGAAGCACCAGTGACTCGGTTAATAAAAAAGTGGTCAGATGACGCAGATGCTAAGCTACAGGACTGTTTTGCTAGCACAGACTGGAACATGTTCCGGGATTCTTCAGACCGCATTGAGGAGTACACCATATCAGTCACTGGCTTCATCAATAAGTGCATCGATGATGTCGTCCCCACAGTGACCGTACGTACATACCCCAACCAGAAGCCATGCATTACAGGAAACATCCGCACTGAGCTAAAGGGTAGAGCTGCCGCTTTCAAGGAACGGGACTCTAACCCGGACGCTTATAAGAAATCCCGCTATGACCTCCGACGAACCATCAAACAGGCAAAGAGTCAATACAGGTCTAAGATTGAATCGTACTACACTGGCTCTGACGCTCGTCGGATGTGGCAGGGCTTGAAAACTATTACAGACTACAAAGGGAAGCACAGCCGCGAGCTGCCCAGTGACACAAACCTACCAGACGAGCTAAACCACTTCTATGCTCGCTTCGAGGCAAGCAACACTGAAGCATGCATGAGAGCACCAGCTGTTCCGGATGACTATGTGATCACGCTCTCCGTAGCCGATGTGAGTAAGACTTTTAAGCAGGTCAACATTCACAAGGCCGCAGGGCCAGACGGATTACCAGGACGTGTACTCCGAGCATGTGCTGACCAACTGGCAAGTGTCTTCACTGACATTTTCAACATGTCCCTGACTGAGTCTGTAATACCAACATGTTTCAAGCAGACCACCATAGTCCCCGTGCCCAAGGACTCTAAGATAACTTGCCTAAATGACTACCGACCCGTAGCACTGACGTCTGTAGCCATGAAGTGCTTTGAAAGAATGGTCATGGCTCACATCAACAGAATTATCCCAGAAATCCTAGACCCACTCCAATTTGCATACCGCCCCAACAGATCCACAGATGATGCAATCTCTATTGCACTCCACACTGCCCTTTCCCACCTGGACAAGAGGAAAACCTACGTGAGAATGCTATTCATTGACTACAGCTCAGCATTCAACACCATAGTGCCCTCTAAGCTCATCACTAAGCTAAGGATCCTGGGACTAAACACCTCTCTCTGCAACTGGATCCTGGACTTCCTGACGGGCCGCCCCCAGGTGGTAAGGGTAGGTAACAACACATCTGCCACACTGATCCTCAACACGGGGGCCCCTCAGGGGTGCGTGCTCAGTCCCCTCCTGTACTCTCTGTTCACCCATGACTGCATGGCCAGGCACGACTCCAACACCATCATTAAGTTTGCCGACGACACAACAGTGGTAGGCCTGATCACCGACAACGATGAGACAGCCTATAGGGAGGAGGTCAGAGATCTGGCCGTGTGGTGCCAGGACAACAACCTCTCCCTCAACGTGACCAAGACAAACGAGATGATTGTGGACTACAGGAAAAAAAAGAGGACTGAGCACGCCCCCATTCTCATCGACGGGGCTGTAGTGGAACAGGTTGAGAGCTTCAAGTTCCTTGGTGTCCACATCACCAACGAACTATCATGGTCCAAACACACCAAGACAGTCGTGAAGAGGGCACGACAAAGCCTATTCCCCCTCAGGAGACTGAAAAGATTTGGCATGGGTCCTCAGATCCTCAAAAGGTTCTACAGCTGCACCATCGAGAGCATCCTGACTGGTTGCATCACCGCCTGGTATGGCAACTGCTTGGCCTCCGACCGCAAGGCACTACAGAGGGTAGTGCGTACGGCCCAGTACATCACTGGGGCAAAGCTTCCTGCCATCCAGGACCTCTATACCAGGCGGTGTCAGAGGAAGGCCCTCAAAATTGTCAAAGACTCCAGCCACCCTAGTCATAGACTGTTCTCTCTGCTACCGCACGGCAAGCGGTACCGGAGTGCCAAGTCTAGGTCCAAAAGACTTCTCAACTGCTTCTACCCCCAAGCCATAAGACTCCTGAACAGCTAATCATGGCTACCCGGACTATTTGCACTGCCCCCCCACCCCATCCTTTTACGCTGCTGCTACTCTGTTAAGTATTTATGCATAGTCACTTTAACTCTACCCACATGTACATATTACCTCAACTACCTCAACTAGCCGGTGCCCCCGCACATTGACTCTGCAACGGTACCCCCCTGTATATATAGCCTCCCTACTGTCACTTTATTTTACTTCTGCTCTTCTTTTTCTCAACACTTTTTTTATTGTTGTTTTATTTTTACTTTTTTTTGTTTAAAATAAATGCACTGTTGGTTAAGGGCTGTAAGTAAGCATTTCACTGTAATGTCTGCACCTGTTGTATTCGGCGCATGTGACCAATACAATTTGATTTGATTTGATTTGATTTGATTTGATGTCACAACTGATCAATACATTCCAAATGTCAATTTGAACATTCTGGTGACTGACTACTGAACATAAAACACCAGTACCAAGCCAATCTACCAGAATCCCCCTGAGATATAGTTATTACAGTAAATCACAATAAAATATAGAAAGTGTTACCAGATAAAAGATGCTGCTTTCAATCTCCTTAATGCTGAGGAGATTCCTGCAGCCGCTACAGGAAGATAATGCTTTAACAGGGAACCTTGGTGCTGCCAGTGACAACTCTCTTCAGCCTACCACACCATCTCAACCCAAGGCCACTGAGAGGCTTCCAGACCTCAACCAGAAGGTTCTACACATCTCGCATTCACTCTCCAGAATCGCAGTACTGGAGGAAGAAGGCCATCTGCAATGGGAAGAGTCAAGGACTGCATGTAGCTCCAACATCTCAGCAGAGCGGGGAGGCTACTGTTCCTCCCATCCGGAAGCTACTGCATCCCATCCGCAACAAGAGGGATCAAACCTGTGTGGTGAAAGACATCTACCTCCATTTCACCAAGCCATTGAAGGCAGTCCATGGAGCCAAAATAGTCGCCAAGATGCCACTGCCTCCCATTAGAGCCAGAGTGCCAAACAATGATGCCAAGAAGGAGCCATTCCAGCCAGTCAGACCAGAGGGCAGCCCTCGTCCTGCTGCTTCAAAGTTCAGAAGGCAGGTTGTGAAGAAACACATTCAGTTCAAGACCCTAACTGTACAGGATCTATCACCATGCCCCGATGAGATGGTATGGGTTGTCTTCAATTCGGAGGCTGAGCAGGTGATGGCATATCTGAAGGCCAAGCTGATCAGTGTCACCCAGGAATTAAACCTGATCAAGGGTGTGGCCAAGATGGATGCTCAGGCTTTGGAGGAGAAAAATGCAAAGGAACAAGGTGAAGAAGTACATCTGGGAGATCTGCCTGATGAAGGTGGATACTGACCTATGGGAGATGATGAGATAATGAAGAGGAGGAAGAAAGGAGGAAAGAGGTGATGAAAAACGGAGGAGAAGAGGGCAGTGTGGCAAGTAAGCCAAAGCAGACAGCAGCCAAGAGATACGTGAGCAGGGACAGGGTCCAAGTCAAGAAGAGTGTGAATGAGGAGGATGAGAAAAAGAAGAACGGAGAGGTAAATTAGTCTACTGCTGATCTAGTTCAGTGTTGTGATCATGTTTAGGCTTATTTGTATTACATACTGTATGTTGTATAGTTTGCCCATCTGATAACGAGGAGGACCACAATGGAAATAAGTCTGTTGACTTTGTGTTTTTATCCTTGAGCATTTTAATGTGTGTAGTGTTGTATTCACAATGGCTGAAGCAACTCAATGTGGCCTATTTTAAATTTGTCACATAAATAAACAAATTCATTCCTTCATTCAGGTGGTAACAAAACATAGATTTGAAGCCGTGTGAGCACTGCGGCCGGTGCTTTGATCCTAGCCGCCTGGAGAAACACAGCAAGATCTGTGCCAAGCTCTCCTCCAAGAGCTCTAGACGGGGGGTCTATGAATCCACCAAGCACCGGCTCAAGGGCACTGAACTGGCCGGCTACGTGAAGCGATCTGTGGTGTGATGTACCAAGGGACCTGGGTCTGTCTGGAAATTACCACTCTTTTTGATTGAACAGAGAGACAGGACAGACAGATAGACAGACAGACAGAAAGGAGGAGGAGATAGACAGGACAGAGAGGAAGAGCAGTGGGGCTGGGATTCGAGAACACGCCAAAACAGACATAGATGTGCTGTGGGCATCGGCGGTGACTGCTATAGACCAATGTCAGACCAACTGCTAGACCACCTGTTATTCAAAAGATGACCTCTACTTTGGAATCGGCGACAATTCCAATAAGAGGCAGTACTACTAGGAGGCAGTATTCTACCCAGAACCATCTAAATCAACAGTGTTCAGCAGTTCCTCAAATACACAGAAACACCTGTAGTTCTCCAATAAAATAAGGAATCCAAAGAACTCATTCAAAATGTTTCAGTCAGATGTGTTGCAGGAAAGTAAAGGAAATTCAATATTATTGCATAGTATTCCTTTAATAACTTCTGCTCTCCATACCTGTGCATTTCAAATCAAATCAAATCCCCGGTACAGAGTCAATGTGCGGGGGCACAGGTTAGTTGAGGTAATTGAGGTAATATGTACATATGGGTAGAGTTAAAGTGACTATGCATAGATAATAAACAGAGAGTAGCAGCAGCGTAAAGAAGGGGTGGGGTGGACAATGCAAATAGTCCGGGTAGCCATGATTATCTGTTCAGGAGTCTTATGGCTTGGGGTAGAAGCTGTTAAGAAGCCTTTTGGACATAGACCTGACGCTCCGGTACTGCTTGCCGTGCGGTAGCAGAGAGAACAGTCTATGACTAGGGTGGCTGGAGTCTTTGACATTTTTTAGGCCCTTCCTCTGACACCGCCTGGTATAGAGGTCCTGGATTGCAGGAAGCTTGGCCCCAGTGATGTACTGGGCCGTACGCACTACCCTCTGTAGTGCCTTGCGGTCGGAGGCCGGGCAGTTGCCATACCAGGCAGTGATGCAACCAGTCAGGATGCTCTCGATGGTGCAGCTGTAGAACCTTTTGAGGATCTGAGGACCCATGCCAAATCTTTTCAGTCTCCTGAGGGGGTATAGGCTTTGTCGTGCCCTCTTCACGACTGTCTTGGTGTGTTTGGACCATGATAGTTCATTGGTGATGTGGACACCAAGGAACTTGAAGCTCTCAACCTGTTCCACTACAGCCCCGCCGATGAGAATGGGGGCGTGCTCAGTCCTCTTTTTTTCCCTGTAGTCGACAATCATCTCCTTTGTCTTGATCATGTTGAGGGAGAGGTTGTTATCCTGGCACCACAAGGCCAGCTCTCTGACCTCCTCTCTATAGGCTGTCTCATCGTTGTCGGTGATCAGGCCTACCACTGTTGTGTCGTTGGCAAACTTAATGATGTGTTGGAGTCGTGCCTGGCCATGCAGTCATGGGTGAACAGGGAGTACAGGAGGGGACTGAGCACGTGTTTAGTCCCAGGGTCCTTAGCTTAGTGATGAGCTTTGAGTGTACTATGGTGTTGAACGCTGAGCTGTAGTCAGTGAATAGTATTCTCACACAGGAAGCATTCCACTTCCTTGTCACCTGTGTGCTTTTATGTGAACCTTAATTGGAACAGCGCCGGAGAAGATGGCTGCCGTTTTACAGCCCTCTAACCATTTGTACTATTATGTGTGTTTTTCCGCGTTATTTGTAATTTTTTTTGTACATAATGTTTCTGCCATCGTCTCTTATATCCAAAAAGAGCTTCTGGATATCAGGACAGCGATTACTCACCTCGTATTGGACGAAGATTTTTTCTTCAACGAGGCGGCAGCGAAGGATATCATACAGACACCCGACAAGGCCCAAATCCCCGTCATTCGCGTGAGGAAGAGACGGAGATATCGTGGACGTAGATCGGGGTGCCTTGTACGGATCCGACGGCGAGCGAGTAAACTGCCTCTTCCATCAATCCTATTAGCCAATCTTCAATCATTGGATAACAAATTGGATGACCTAAGATTACGGTTATCCTACCAACGGGACATTAAAAACTGTAATATCTTATGTTTCACCGAGTTGTGGCTGAACGACGACATGGATAACATACAGCTAGTGGGATATACGCTACATCGGCAGGATAGAACGGCTGACTCCGGTAAGACAAGGGGTGGCGGTCTGTGTATATTTGTAAACAACAGCTGGTGCACAAAATCAAATACTAAGGAAGTCTCGAGGTTTTGCTCGCCTGAGGTAGAGTATCTTATGATAAGCTGTAGACCACACTATTTACCAAGAGAGTTTTCATCTATATATTTTCATAGCTGTCTATTTACCACCACAAACCAATGCTGGCATTAATATTGCACTGAATGAGTTGTACAAGGCCATAAATCAACAGGAAAACGCTCATCCAGATGCAGCGCTCCTAGTGGCCGGGGACTTTAATGAAGGGAAACTTAAATCAGTTCTACCTCATTTCTACCAGCATGTTAAATGTGAAACCAGAGGAAAAAAAAATCTAGACCACCTTTACTCCACACACAGAGACGCATACAAAGCTCTCCCTCGCCCTCCATTTGGCAAATCTGACCATAACTCTATCCTCCTGATTCCTGCTTATAAGCAAAAACTAAAGCAGGAAGCACCAGTGACTTGGTTAATAAAAAAGTGGTCAGATGACACAGATGCTAAGCTACAGGACTGTTTTGCTAGCACAGACTGGAACATGTTCCGGGATTCTTCAGACAGCATTGAGGAGTACACCACATCAGTCACTGGCTTCATCAATAAGTGCATCGATGATGTCGTCCCCACAGTGACCGTACGTACATACCCCAACCAGAAGCCATGGATTACAGGAAACATCCGCACTGAGCTAAAGGGTAGAGCTGCCGCTTTCAAGGAACGGGACTCTAACCCGGACGCTTATAAGAAATCCCGCTATGCCCTCCGACGAACCATCAAACAGGCAAAGAGTCAATACAGGACTAAGATTGAATCGTACTACACTGGCTCTGACGCTCGTCGGATGTGGCAGGGCTTGAAAAACTATTACAGACTACAAAGGGAAGCACAGCCGCGAGCTGCCCAGTGACACAAGCCTACCAGACGAGCTAAACCACTTCTATGCTCGCTTCGAGGCAAGCAACACTGAAACATGCATGAGAGCACCAGCTGTTCCGGATGACTATGTGATCACGCTCTCCGTAGCCGATGTGAGTAAGACTTTTAAGCAGGTCAACATTCACAAGGCCGCAGGGCCAGATGGATTACCAGGACGTGTACTCCGAGCATGTGCTGACCAACTGGCAAGTGTCTTCACTGACATTTTCAACATGTCCCTGACTGAGTCTGTAATACCAACATGTTTCAAGCAGACCACCATAGTCCCCGTGCCCAAGGACTCTAAGATAACCTGCCTAAATGACTACCAACCCGTAGCCACTGACGTCTGTAGCCATGAAGTGCTTTGAAAGACTGGTCATGGCTCACATCAACAGCATTATCCCAGAAACCCTAGACCCACTCCAATTTGCATACCGCCCCAACAGATCCACAGATGATGCAATCTCTATTGCACTCCACACTTCCCTTTCCACCTGGACAAGGAACCCACGGGGGAAAAA